CCTTATACAACACACTGTTCTATATGGTCTAATAGTGCAAAACACCCAGAAACCTACCACTAAATATCTATCTATTTTCTTCCCATCTCTATTAAAGATCAAAGTTCCTGTTTAGAGATGTCTTAACAGATCTTAAACACGTGGTTAGGGACACTTTCCATTTGGTTACTTGTGCTCTGGTCTTCTATCTGGAATGCTGCAGTGTGTTGTATAAGGGGCTGCCTTTGAAAAGTATTCAGGTACAAAATGTATCCACACAAACAAACTTGGGCACCCAAAGAACTGCATGTGCAACACCTCTGCTATGCAAATTACATTGATCTGCTTTGGGGCCAATTCAAGATGTTGTTATGGCCTTTAAAATCCTACACAGCACAGGACCAGGCTAGCTACAAAACTGTCTTCACCCCATCATATCAGCACATCCTATCCGGTCAGGAAGGAAAGATATGTTGCAGACCCCTTAAGTTAAATAATTCTGACTAGCAGGGTCAAGGAAGAGAGCTTTCTCTGCCATTGTCCCCACTGTTTGAACTTTGAAACATTATCCTCTTTAAGGGTGAGGTGGCTTTTCAAAATATCTAAAAACCTGGTTCTGCCATCTCAATTGGAGCTCAGAGGAGCAGCTGTGGGGCTGATTAGGAGACCCCTTCTCTGCTTTTTAATTAACTTTTAATGTCAACGTTATCTTTACCTCTATTTTAATTTTGTATTTAGTTCTCACGTTTGTAACCTTTTATTTGTACCCTCCCAAGGAGGCTCTCTGTGAAGGAGAAGGGCGGTTCCTAAATGGCATCAATAAATGTTTATTATCATTCTCCTAGCATTGAGCTTTGCAGATTAGGTGGTATTTCTCAATCACCTCCTCCCGTTTTCCCAACACCAGAAAACCTAGGACTGAAAGAGAACGCTGGATTTCCGTCACAGTTGCATATTTTGAGGAGGTTAGACGACGTGATACTGCAGCTACCCAATTCTTAACGTTGTTAATGTCGCCGAAGCCGATTCCATTATAATTTATATACAGCCGCAACCATCTCAGCTCCGGGTCCGCTTCCACCAGCCTCGCGGCCGCAGCCACAACTTCAAAATTAACTGAGGAAAGTCCTTGAGAGGCAAACGCGTAGCTAAGTCGTAGGTCACAGACGGGAAGGCGAAAGCTGTAAACTACTCGCCCTGAGTGGAAAGGAAACCCGCCGGGAGCCCCGCCTCGAGACTCAGCGGAGTAGAGCGCCAGGGAAGGGCGCGGTTACCTTTGCAGGAGGGGAAGGTCTGCATCGCTGTAGGGTCAAGAGGTGACGGTAAGCTGCAGCTGTTCGTTGCAGCAGCTGAGTGGTTAAAAAGGCGGAAAAATGGTGCGCCTTGTATTATGCACCGCTTGTGTGGGCGCCTCCATAGAGTTTGAAAGACACGTGCGTTTCCACGAAAGTCTCACCGGCTACTCTTACTACTACTACTGGTTGAATTTCACAGCCCGGAAGATGGTGAGGCGAGCTTCGCGGCAGGCCACGGCTGCAGCAACATCGCTCTTGAACTCCAGCCAGCAAATTTCCGGGAGCCGCAATGTTCCCGGAAGGGTCGGGCGAGGTTGAGAATCGAAACAATATATATATTAAAAAATAGCTCTTAAGTGAAGCCGTGCGGCAAGCAATTCTCTTTCCCTCCTGACCGCTTTCAATGCGACCTGCTTTTAGAGATGCTTTTCAGCAATCTTGCAACCAGCCCTCAAATGTTTCAGACCAGAAGCATTTATATATATATTTGGGGAATGTTGGTGGAACATCTGCTGGAAAAAAACTAATTGCTTTCAGCATCACTGCTTATTTATTCTTTTACCTGGACCTTACCTTGTTGTCAGATGTGTACAATATCATGTCAAACCTCAAAAGATCAATTGGTTTAAACGCATTGCATGACTTTGGGCTAGTTTTGTTTTAGCCCCTGGCCGACCCAGGATAGATTCTGGAAAGACATGGTAGAGGAGTTCTCTTTATGACCTTGTTGAGCCCCTGGAGTACAGGTGGGATATGAATCTAAGAAGGGGCTGGGCTTGGTGATTGCCCTTCCTGTCTTACTTAATGGCCGGCTTTGTAGTCTCAATATGTAAAAAGGGCCAGCAAAAGTAGAGTGGAATCCTCCCTAGACACTGTCTCTGGCGCTTCAAGCAGATGAAACCAAATAGGATAGATTGCTTAAAAATCCAAACCTCAGTGTCTACTCAGTTTGAGTAGAGAGACTTACTGCACACTGAATGGCACCATAAAGGTTAATCTCCACCACAATCTCTTGATTGGAGGTCATCTCAGTAATAGGCAAGTGGATAAAAGACTTACCTACATAGACATTTCAATAGCTTTTCCCAATAGCACAAAAGAGATAGTATTTTCCTCTCACAAATCATAATCCCTTTGCAATACTCATAATTGGTGTTGTGCAGTTATTACTGATAGTGGCCATATCATACTGTCACACAATATAAATATCTATATAGGAGGGTGGGGTTTAATAAATTAAAGGTCCTCGGTGTGGAGAAATACTAATTTATTATTTCAAACTTGGGTATCAATCTTTACAGGTAGTCCACAATATACAACCACAGTCAAGACCATAATTTCTATTGCTAAGCAAGGTGGATGTTAAATGAATCTGGCTTCCCCCATTGACTTTGCTTGTTGGAAGCCAGCTGGGAAGGTCGCAAATGATGATCCCATGACCCCAGCATACTGCAGCCATCTAAACACATGCCAGTTGCCCAGTGCCTGAATTATGATCATGTGACCATAGGGATGGCGTGAGAGTCATAAATTGCTTTTTTCAGTGCCATTGTAACTTGGATTACCAAACAAATAATTTTAAATTGAGCTTCCTGTGTATGGATTCAGCATTTATTTCAATTACCCTCTACAGGTAGTGACTGCCTTGTTTAGTGACTGCAGTTACTACGGTGATGAAAAAGTAATTTTACAATCCCTGCATGTCTGTAAAGCAAAAAAAAAAAGATGAAATAATGTCATAATGCAGTGGTTAGAGTGCAGTACTGTAGGCTACTTCTGCTGACTGCCAACTGTCTGCAATTGGCAGTTCGATTCTCACCAGGCTTAAGGTTGACTCAGCCTTCCATCTTTCCAAGGTGGGTAAAATGAGGACCCAGATTATTGGGGGCAATATGCTGACTCTGTAAACTGCTTAGAGAGGGTTGTAAAGCATGGTAAAGCAGTATATGTCTAAGTGCTATTGCTATAAGTAGTCAGTTTCACTTAACAACCACTTAGCTTAAGAACCAAGTTGCTAGTCCCAATTGTAGTAGCCAGACAAAGACTACTTGTACTTAAATTGTAAAGAATACAGATTATTAAGTAGAAGAAGAAATGAATATGAAACTATTATGGAAACTTTTACCAGAGCAACTTTGGTTATCCCTCCAAAGTAATAAGAGGTGGTGTTTCTGATGAAGGTTGGTACTAGTTTCCTAATACAGGGATATGCTTTATGAGCTGTTTAGTTGAAACAGTGTTCTTATTTTTGCTCCAAAACCACCTCTTTCCTCCCACTGTAAGAGAGAGAAATTTCCCTAGTTTCAAAAGACAAATTAACTGATGCTTCCAAACTGAATCCAACCAAGCACTGATAGGGAATTTATGTTTTTTGTGAAGATACATTTAATGGCATTATTGAAACTTTTCTATCAGTGTAGTAATGAGGCTAAAAAATGTAGTGGGAGAAGGCAAATTTGCCACAATTTATGATTCAGTTCCACTAGCTTCAATGTTGCAAAAACAAATGTTATATAAAAGACAATCCAGATTAATATGGAGTAATTTCACAGTAATTGGATCTCTGTCTAGAGTCATAAGGTCACCTTTTTGTAGTCACTGTTCATCTAGTACAAGGATATGCATTATAAACAAGGTGTTTATTTTTTAACAAGGCAATAAAGGAGAATGAGCACCTAATTCAACAACTTTCCTGGAAAACTATTTGCACTTTATTATAATGCACACATTTACTCTCTAGTCTTAAGAGGAATTTGGTCTTAGTACTCTGCATCCAGCAGATTACATTCATTCTTATGGAAACAAGTGTTAATTTCCCCTCTGCTGCCAAAGCCACTGTAGAACTAAGACTGTGGGTCTAGAACAGGGATGTCAAACTCGATTTCATTGAGGGCTGCATCAGGGTTGTATTTGATCTTAGAGGGCCAGGATAGGCGTGGCCAGGATGGGCATGGATAGCTTGACGTCACTCGTGTTGGGGCACCTGTGGTGGCCCGAGTGCCTATGCTAGCGAAAACGGGGTCCCGAGCTCCGTTTTCAGCTCCCACAGCCTTTTGCAACCCTCTTACCAGTGAAAACAGAGGTCAGGAGGGCTGCACGTGGCCCTCCTGAGCTCTGTTTGTGCTGGCAGAAGTACCGCGGGCTGTTCCTTCACTGTTTCCAGGATGGCCCGGCAGGCCAGATCTAAGTACTTTGCAGGCCAGATCTGGTCCCCAGGCCTTGAGT